TTGCCTGGCGGCGGCCCGCCTCTGCTCGTCGTCGCTCCTGCGGCGCGCTTCGTGCTGCCGCCGCGTGGTGCGCAGGTCCTCCAGGATACTTCGCACGCCCTCCAGCACCGCCTCCATCTCCGCCTCCTCCTGCACCAGCGCACGACACGCCAGAGTGGGCCCACGAGCCAAGCCGGACTTCGAAAGATACGGAGCCGCCCGTTGAAGCAGCGCACATGTCAGGCCACGTGAGTCAGCACTTTGAAGGTTGTCAGCAAAGCAGACTTGCTTGGCCGGTGGTGCAGTGGCTATACTCGTATTTGGAATTCCCCTCGTAGGGCCCCCAGCCAACTGTGATTCACACCTGTCGCAGCTGCTCAAGGCGCGCCTGCTCGTGCTGGAGGTCGGAGCGCATGGCGGCGACGCTGGCCGCGAGGTGCTCCCCAGTGACGGGCTGCAGGCAGCGCTCGCACACCACCGCCTCCGCGTTGGCCGCCGTGAACGATGCCAGCCGGGCGCGCGCGGCCTCCACCGCCGCAGCAGCACTGCGTGCCTGCGCAACCCAGCGAGCACGTGGCTGAGCGGACAGTCAGGGACGCCAACGGAACGGAGAACAAGCAAAGGTGCGGTGATTCGGGTTTCAAACGGTCTGCATAGCAGTCCGGTCACACAATTCCTTTGCAAGCTGTGACTTTCTCCGACAAGAAGCATATTGATGCCAGCGCGACACAGCATGATTTTCCGAGACTTTCAAAGCCTCCGAACCGAGGAACTCATCATGCTGAGCCTTTGGGGAACGTAGTAAGGGTAGGAATACACGCTCTCAATACAAAAAGCTCAGGCCTTCGTTTTCCAAATACGTCGTGATTCCCTGCTGGCCCGGCCTGCACCTGTGCCCGTTTGTCTACCAGCTCCATCTGCGCATCCTGCGCCAGTGCCGCCGCCTCCTCCTCCTCCGCCGACACCCCCGCCGCATAATGCCCGCCCCGGGCGGCCCCAGGACGTCCCCCAGCGCGGCGTCCTCCCAGTCGGTCAGCAGGCCCGCCGTCGCGGCGATGCACGCATCCAGGCGGACCGCGGATTCCAGGCACCGCTGCAGAGCCGTCGCCTGCTGGCTGCGCGTGGCGGCCAGCTGGCCATCCAGCTGGGACGCCTGTGCCGCCTTCCACTGCTCAAACTGCCGCTGCTCGGACTCGGTCCGCTCAATCTGGAGGAAAGAGTAGGGGACTTGTCAACAAACCTGCAACCAATTGGCAGCGTGTGCGACCGCCAGCCTGCAAACACCCAGCAAGCTGTACAGACCCGGAAACAAGTCCTCGGACACGAGATGCCAGCAGCAGGTCACAGAGTGCACAAGAGCGCCCTTGCTATTGTCGTGCTGACGTGGCCCGGCGGTGTCCCTCACCTCTGCTTCCAGCGCAGCGGTTCTGTTGCGCAGCTCGGCGGCGGCGCCGTGCAGGTGCTCCACGTGCGTGCGCTGCTGCTTGAGCAGCCGCTTGCACGCCTCCGCCGCAGCCACCCACACCTCCATCGACACCATGCGCGACAGCTCCTCCTGCCACGCCGCAGCGCAGACACACCGCTCAGCCAACACACAAGGGGCCACCACGAAAGCCCTCCTCAGGAAGCTGGACAATCACGTCGTGTCGTTCTAAACAAAGGCGGCATGGTTTTGAGATCCGTATGCCAGGAGGCTATCAAAGAAAAGCGCCATTCAAATGCGAGGAATTCCGCACGGTCGCAGGCGTACCTTGAGCTCTCTGTCGTTGGCCTCGAGGAGGCCACCCACCGCGTGCTGACCGTGAAAGGCGATCCGGCGCAACGAGGCCGTATCCCTGCATGGCGGAAACCGACGATGAATCCGGGCTCAGCTCAACGGGTCCACTAGATGCAACATCGGTGTATCGCTGCTCCTTTTCGCATGAAGATTTTAGCGAGCTCGAGCCGCCGTTTGCAGCAAGTGCTTCCACCTCACGGGCAGCGGCCGCGCGCCTGCGCGGGCGTGCTCACAGGAGGTCGTTGATCTTGTCCTGCGTGAGCCGCATCTCTTGTTGCGTACGGTCCTCGCCGTCCACCTCGAAGCGCAGCCCCGAGCGGCGGCCGGCCGTCCGCTCCACTGTGAAGGGCCGCCCGTTGACGTCGCCCTCCAGGCGCACGCGCGCGCTGGCGGCCTCGGGGTGCACCACCTCCCCCAGCAGCAGCCCGCCCTCCGCGCCGGGGCGGGCGTCCGTCGAGCCTGCACCAAAGACACAGCCGATTATGGCGTCGCACGCACAGGTAGGGGGCTCAAGGGAGCTGGCGGACCAAGCTACACGCACAGCCAGCCAGTAAAGCAAAAGGCTCAGAAACTTAACTCAAAACCAAGCGCTATGTTTGATTCGATGCAGCATCGATGTCTGGTGTCCGAGAAGGCTAGACGGTGTGCGTGCGCACCTGTGAGGGCCCAGAGCGGGGCCATCACCAGAGTCGTCTTGCCTGCAGGACACGGAGCCAGGCGCAGGTGAGCCGCACCGGGTGTCACGGCAGGACGATTGTGTGACGGCAGAGAAGGCAATTGCAGCAGCTGCCTTGAACGGAGACAACGACGAAATGGCAGCATCGAGAGGCTCTGGACATTCTCAACAAAACAAACAAAGCCTTATCCTACTCAGAGTTCACCGTGCTCCCGCTATGGGAGTTTGCAAGGAGAAGGATCGCCGAACGGCGCTCGCCTGCGCCGTTGCTGTCGGAGCCCTGGCCGCCGTCCTGGATGCTGCCCGTGATGGCGCGCAGGCCTCGCGCGGGCCCCAGGCAGTACTCGGTACGGGCCAGGAACGGGCCGTACCCCTCCAGCTCGAGCCGCCGGAAGACCACGTCCGCGCGCGGCCGCCGCAGCGCCCGGGCCGGCAGGTCCAGCTCGCGCAGCAGGGCGTGGCCGCGGGCCAGAGCAGGCGGCGACAGGCCCACCGTGGCAGCGTACTGGGAGAAGAGCGAAAAGGCGTCCTGCGACGACAGCAACGACGGCGCGAGAAGACACGGTCAGTAACCGCGTTGAAGTGCTGCATGCCATATGCGACAGCCTGGGAACGTGCTTCGGCGACAATCTTTCCGAACCGTACCTCGTCGACGAAACGGTTACTCATTGCATCTCGGTGGACTTAAGGGAGGCGACTGACGTCGATCGATCGAGATCGCTTTCCAAAGGGTTTATAGTAAGCCACAGGAGCTCTCGTGTTATGATCAATCCTCAACAGCCGCCACCACACCCCCCTGGGTTGCGCTTCCTGCCTCCTGTTTGCACGAGCCTGCAGGATGGGAGGTGGTGCGCTCACCAGCTCTTCCGCCTTCTGGATGCGCGGCGTGCTGGCCGGCAGGGGGTACACCACCTCTACCTCCACGCCGCGCCGCCGCAAGTCAGCCTGCACCACCATAGACGGTTGACCTGCGCAATCAGGACGTAGGCGAGGAACGGGTGGGCCACGGATCACAGGATCGAGGGCCTTGCTTCGACCAAGGACGCCACATCTGAGTACGTCAAAGAAGAGGGACACATGGGGGTGCAAGATCTTGGGTCGGTCCCCGCCTGCCTCACCAGGGTGTCCGCCACCGGGTGAGGCGCCGCCTTGGCGCTGGGCCGGGCCTGCTTGGCCAGGAGCGCCCACTCGGCGGGCACCTCCCACCGCAGGCGGTCCCCCGCCCGAAGGTCCTCTGGCAGGTCGGGAGTGGCTCCTGACACCGAGAAGTGGCGCGGCCCAACGGAGAGGGGGATCACCTCCTCCTCCTGCAGCGGGGCCGGTAGTATTGTCAACGCCAGCTGTGCGCCCTGTGGGAAGCCTCAGCCACGATAGACCAAGCTTTTGAATGGCAGAGCAAGCTGAAATCAACTTCCGACCTGCAGGGGGGGGTGCTATCGAGTACCTCGGCGGTATACTTCGTTTATTCAATGGGTTGTGCCTTGGCCTGACCCTGGTGCCGCAATTGCTGCATGAGCGGGACTGCGCACCTGCCAGTCTTGGTCGAGCACAAGGAGGTGCTTCTGCTGGCCGGCCTCGCTGCGCGACACCTGGTAGGGGGAGCCCACGTAGCGCACGCTGGTGCCGTCAACCGTGTGGGGCCGGTGGTAGTGGCCCGTGTAAATGGGCACGTCCTTGCGGAGGGCCGCCGGGGCGATGCCGTCCTTGGCCTGGAACGAGTTGTTCAGATAGGCGCCCGCCTGCGGCAAGACATGGGACCAGATGCGACGTTAGGGGAGTTTTTCACTCTAAAAGGTAGAATGGAAAAATTACGCGGCTCAGAAAATGGGGTCAGATGCATCTGTCGCTCATACCTGACAGATTCACAGGCTGAGATTGATCAAGTAACACTTAGTCTGTGTTTGTTCAACCAGAAAGAAATCATAGTTTGCGCGTTTGCTGTCGGAGGGTGTGCCGTCCCACCACGTCAATGTGCGCAAAGACGGCCTTGACGTCGGGGTGGGCTTGCATGGCGTCCAGCACCAGCTGGTGGTCGCGCCTGTACGGGACAAACAGGGCGCCCTGGACCACGCTGGGCTCGTGGAGGACTCGGATGAAGGGGGACGCCGCGGCCAGGGGTGTCAGCGAGTGGACTTCACCACCAATGCTGACCTGCCAAAAGGAACACGGCACTTTGTGTGTAAGCCCACTTCTGGAATCAAGCTAAAGTGGGTTCGTCAAGCGGCAGGCCCTGCGCAATCTTGTTGAAAGTGGCACCCCTTTGGCGGCACGAACTGGACATGGAAGGATGACATATGTGTATGGAGAGACGTGGTGGTCGCAGCTGGACTTAAGAATCTGGGAGAACAGAATAGCCGCCTTCCATGCCAAGCTCTGCTGGTGGTGCAGAAAGCAGTGGGATGGTTGGCGGCCTGACCTGGTCATGGTTGCCTGGGATCATGAGCGTGGGGCGCTGCCATGCCTGGATCACCTGCAGCACCTGGTTCAGCGGCTCCACCGGCAGCGCCCCCCGCTCATGCCAAAAGTCCCCCAGGAACAGGATGCCCGCATTCCTGCCCAAACAAGGGGCACGTCAGTCAAGGGCAGGGCAGATCAGGGGCGCGTTGCACTTCACAGTCTTCAAGCTCACATTCATCAAAATCCTGTCCACAAACTAGTGAGTCAGATCACGAAACTAGTATGAGGTGTATGATGTGGGTGGTGCACCTGGCGGCGGCCTCTGCGTGCACCTGGCGCAGTGTCTGCAGGCAGATGTCCAGCGTGCGCCGGCTCAGGTGCAGGTCCGAGAACACTACCCAGCGCCCCACCTCCCAGTCCACAGCAGGCCCGCGCCCAGAGTCTTGCAAGGAGGCCTCCGCAGGGGCTGACTCCTCTACCTGTGCTGCCTCAACGGCCAAAGCTTGGGTTTGAAATGAATCAAAGCTGGTCCCAAGCAGCGGACCAGGCTGCGAGGCTGAGAACCAGGTCCTGCAACGCACAATGCCGACACTTAGGCCCCATGGCGCGCCGCCCAGACACCCATGGCGAACAAAAGCACTTGCTGCAATGCCTCGTGCACGGACTGCTGGAGGTGTGGCCACGCTGACATGACCACCGCCCACTTTGATGCTCCCCCCAGCCTGCACTGCCGCCCTGCCTCCCTGCCCCCATTTCTCCACCGCCAACACGCCTCGGCAGGACAGCAGGGGCGGCCGCACAAAGCAGCGGCTGCTCGAAGCTGCGCCCATGCCCATCACGCTACAGCCCTCATGCCAGTCATGCCAGCATGGGGGCGTTGAAGCATGCCAAAGTTGTTCATGAGACTTGAGTGCATGAGTTCTTCGACATGCGAGCCGCCGGCGCGGGCGCGAGCGATTTGCGACGGTGCCGCCTCCTAGGCTAAAGGCTGAAGGGATTTTTGCCCCACGCATAAATCCCACGGCCAAACCCCCCAGGGCCGACGATCGAGCCGCCCGGCCGGGCCGGTCGCGCGCGCGACCTGCATGTGATCGGATCAAATCGCGAGCTCAGGTAGCCTCAGTGCCTGCCGCGCACGTACATCGTGCGCGCAGTGCCGGTACTAAGCAGCTAATGTAATATATCTGGTCTGCGTTAGCAGCTACCTGGTGACATCAGCGGAGCCACACACACAAAGTGCAGGCGCCATTGACTAAAAATCCTCGATTGCTTGGACCGGGTGTACAGAAGATGCAGCTGCATTCAGATTTGTGCATCCTTCACCATCATAGAGAGAGTTACATGAAAAGCGCATGGCTATAGCTTGACTTAGATACGACAATCTGATCAGAAGCAACATCGCAACGACCAGTCGCAGCATCTCGGAGTGGCACCAGAAACATTATGCAACGCAATATTGACGGTACTGCCTTAGATGGCTGCTCAATGCTCGCCACAAATTTCTTGACCAGTGCCACAAGCGTGGAGCTGCGATTTGTCAACAACGCGAAGCACTCAAAAGGAGATGGACTGGCTCGACTTGACAAGTCTTCGAGGACGCTTTTGTTTCCGATGCTGAATGGCGCTTGGTTGGGCCTTCGGTGGTTCAGTCGCCTCTGCAGTCGGTGGCTCCAGCCGAACATCAGCCTTGCTCTTCGCAACAACCTGGGGTGTTTCGCTCCATCCCCGGTCGATCTCAGCCACCGAGGAGGATGCCTTGCACTGGGTCAGCAATGATTCCAGGAGTGCAGACGCTGCTTCGTCTTCGCCGTTGATGTTCCAATCCAGGTGGACGGGTTCCACCGGCTGCATGAAGAACGATACATGCAATTGATCAATCGCTATGGCTAAATTCATCGACTTGCCTCAGCTCTTGATGAAATAAGCAGGCAATATGAAAAGGACATCGGACGCCAAAATCCTCAGCCGGCTCGTCGCCATCGATCACACTACTCTGCTCGGTAGGCGTGTAGAACCCGCCCACTCTGCACTTGGGCGGACATCTATACAATTAGATTGAGGAGCGGCGTGGTACCAACGCGAGAGGCAAGAGCTGTGAAAGGAGCTCCTTCCTGAGCTGCACGAGCTGACGCAGCCGGAGTATGCCTACCTCCAGCCGCTTTCGTTTAGGCGCAGCCCCATGCCGTTTGCGCTTGAATCCCAGGCCCACCACCTTGGTGTCAGCTGCATCCTGTCTGGCCGCTGGTGCTGTGGTCTGCTCGCTCGGGCTGTTGCTCGTGCCCCCGGCCCGTGCAGTCTGCGCCCCTCCTTCCGGTGCCTCCCCGTACGTCTCCGCGACATGGGCTTTCCCCTTGTCCTGCTCTCCTGCTCCAGCCTTTGCACCGCCACTTGCCGTGGTTTGGACAACCACGACATTGCCTGCCGCCGGCTTCTCGCTCGGGACCCGCACGAGCTGCTCCCCTTGTGCCTCCCGAGGCCTTTCCCCGCTGCTCGTTTCTCCCCGCCCGGCTACTCCATTCGCCCACACCACAGAAAGCCCTTTGCCTACGACGCTCTCGTCGCCAGTGCCGATGCCCCGCCGCTCCACCTCCGCCGCGACCTCTGCCTGCGCCACCGCCGCCCATCCCGCCAGTGCGTCCCCCCCCAGCTCCTCCACTGCCGTGACAAGCGCCGGCGGAAAGCGGGAAGATGACGCAGTTGCCGCCTCCACGTCGCTGGCCCGCTGCTCCATCGGACCGGCCTTCCCTGTGGCCGCTGGTGGTATCCCAAAACCGCTGCTGCTGCCGGGCGGCCCTCCCAGAGCAAGCTCTGTCGCAGGTGGACTTGCCCCTCCATCGCTCGCGTTTGCACTGCGGCTAGCAAGTCCACCGCCCTCCACTTTCGTCACACCTTGCCCCGTGGTGCCGTATCCTTCCTGGCCAACCCGAGATTGGTCCATCTCTTCCTTTATTTTTGTTTCCTTTCCCTTTTTCAGCTCCGACTGCCCTGTCATCCCCGTCTCCGCTTCGTGCTCCCGCTTCTCCGGCCCCCTCGCTCGCTTTGCCTCGGCGTCTCCGCTCTGCCCCTCGCGCCGCCGCTTGAGGGCGGTCTCCCGCTTCTTGGCCCACTCCGTTGCCGCCGGCGGTGCGTCCATCACCTCCACGTCGCTCTCCCCCCCATCTTTCGCCCCCTGCCCTCCAATCCGCCCACTCGTTCGCCCAGCACAAGGAGACGCTGCGTGGCCGTTTGCATCGTGCCTGCGAGACTCCGAGAGATGCGGAGCGACCCCCTTCGGCGCGTTGCTGCCAGGTGGGGCCTGCTCGGGGCCTGTCCCTGGCAGCTGCGGCATGTCCCGCACAATGTGCGCCAGCTGCGCCGCAAGCTGGCGGGCCCGGGCCGCCTGCCCTGCTTGCGCGTGCTGCGTCAGCCTGGCCGTGAGGGCGGCCTCCAGGGAGTGCCGCTCCAAGAGCAGCCGCTTGATCTCGTCCTGCAGGGAGAGAAGGCATGGCCGCATCAGCATTCCGAAAGATGTATTGCCGGCATCCTTGAAAACTTTGCATCTCAAGAAGTGCGGAGAAGATGTAATCATCTCTCATAGCGGTGGTCGCGTTCAAACTGTCAAGTTGAGAATTTGACAGTTATCAAGTTATGTCAAACCATTTCAATGCTACATGGATTCGATCGAACGGTACCAGACAAACCTCGAAGACAGACTGGCAGTTTTATTGCAAACTTCAGAAAGGAAAAGTTTGTGTCAACCTGGCAGTGCCTCAGCTTGCCCAGCTGCTCCTCCTCGCTCTCCTCCTCTCCCTCCTCCTGCTCGTGACCAGCCCCACTGCTGGCCTCCGCGCCACCGCTTTGACCCCGCCCTCCACCTGGCGCCACAGAATCCAGTTGACTAGTAGCATTCTGGCTGCCCGCAATCGCGTTCACAACGGCGACAGCAGGCACGGCCCCAGCAGTCGTTTTTGGCTGCTTCACCCCGGCGGCTTCCCCCGGGTCCACCTTGGACGTCTGGCTGGAGAAACCATTTTTCGCAGGGGCACTGCTGGGCCCGCCTACTGCTCCAAAAAACAAGAAGGGCGCACTCGCCCCTCGTGGCTCGTTGTCCTGCCCCGTTCCCAGCGTGGCCACTCCTTGCTTTTCCACGCCCAAGTCTGCCCTAGGGGGATCCCTCTGCTTCATAACTTCCATGTTTTCCCCGGCAGTGCTTGGGCTAGCGCTTGCTGTTGCCGCCTGCACTGCCCCACTCTCTGTTCGCTCCTTCCGCATTCCCCGCTGCCCTTCGCCCCCGTCCATCAGGCCCTGTCGGCACGCATCCTCTTCTCCCTCCTGCTCGGCGTCCCCTAAAGACGCAGGCGCATCCCAGAGGTTGCAGGCAGCGTCATCGGGCTCGCCCGTTGGTCCCTCCGCTACACCCGTGCCCGCTGCCTGCGGCTGTTCCTCAAACTTTTTGACGTGGACGATGTTGACATCGTCAAGCGCGATCAGCACGTTCTGGTGCGCAGGCTGGCTCAGCACCTGCACCAAAAGGATTGATTCAGTGGGTTGAGGCTGCATTGCAAGTACTCGGTCCAATTGCCAATTTTTCACACATGGTCCTCGTGGGGGTGCTCCAGGCATCAGCAGGCTATCCACATAGGAGGATGTGGGTCTCAATGCGGCCCACACCGGAAGGAGTCATAGCCTTCGACGTCACCCCAAGCATGCTGTCAGAGCCACATTTGCAAAAGCACTGTCAGAACTTTCAATACAGGCATGTGTACAGTTTTCGAGTGTTAAGGCACAGAGATGTGTTCACAATTGCCCTCAGTCTGATGGCCAACACCTGACAGAGGACTGCTGTGGTGGTATGACAATGACGGAGCGGGCATCAAGAAAATGCAGGCTCAGCAGCCATCGCTGCGCTTGCCTGGCGGACGTTCTTGACGCTGATGTCGCTGGCGCAGCCAAGGGGCAAACGCGCGGCCAACTGTTTGATGGTCAGGGCACAGCTGAAGATGTCACCGCCTCGACGTGGGATGCCCAACAAAATCTTCTCGCACTCCTGGAACAGACGATCATCGTCATTGACCAGTACGAATGGGCTCCCCATTGTAGCATATCCACAGCAGGGGCATAGCTACACGGATTTGCTTTTCCCAGCTATCGTCTAATCCTGCTGCCCTCGCTGCTCTGAGTCCCAGCTTCCTCTTCTCATGCCATGGCCCATCATATAGGCGGCATGGGGGATGAGG